GTTAGAGCTGCTACATAAAACAGCTCAGATCTGCTAAACCTCACAGCGGTTCATGCATCGGTGTTCTGTAAATATTACATTTTGTTCATTTAAAAGCTTTAGCATCTCCAGCAGCACAAGCACGAAGCACCTCAAGTGCTTCCCGGGGTCGAGTCTAGACGCTGGGGTGGAACGGTTTATAAAAAGGTGTGTAAGGATGACCCAGAGGAGACTGGAGGCGTTTGAGGTGACACCCGCGCTGTGTGTCCATTTGAACAAAACATTAATATTCCCAGTGGGGACGTATTCCCTCATGGTTGCACAATCCCACATTTATTGGGATGTGCAAAGGAAATGCGCTCGGATCCATGTGCAAAACTTTCACGCACAAATTTTTCTGAATAGGTGAAAAGCCCCTTTAACGCGGTACTAGAAGATCAACAAGTCCAGGTTTTTATCAGTAGAAGTCATGAAACAGTCTCGCTATGTCCCACCAGCTCACCTCTGCAGCAGCAAGACTCAGCGCCCACATCACATTTAAATGTTCAGATAGAATCATTAAACAGCAAGTCAGGGTCCAGTTTCCTGAATCTGGCGTGCAAAAGTAACGAGCAGCTTACCCTCTCCTGGTATTTAATCTCATAGTCGAGGATGACGCCATTGGGTTTCTCCGGGGGCAGCCATGACAGGCTGAGGGTGTCTGAGGTGGAGCGCATCAGATGGACAGTGGGCACAGCCGAAGGTGCTGCAGGGTGGGATGGTAGATAATAGAACTCAAAAATTTCTCAACATTATTGTTTTGTGTTTATTTTAATCAGTAAATTAGGATTAAATAATTCTGAATTATTCCCGTCTGGCAGATAAGCTGCAGGATTTGATCAACTTCATCTTTCATAATGAAAATGAGGAGTTGTATAATTAGGTGAACTGCAGAACTGTTACCCCATGCAAATGGTGTTCTGTTCTGATGTGGAGAACCCAAAACGCAGATGAGGCGAATAATAAATTTTACAGTTTTAGTGACCAACTAAAAGCAGCTCACAGGCAGAGAATCCTAAACCCGACATGAACACCCAGCAAAACAAAAGGTGAGGGTCTGACTAACACCTGAAACCTGGGAGTAAAGGGTTAGGGTAGGAGCAGAAACAAACCCAGAGAGAGAAAGTCCTGAGCTGCTGCTGGTGGCAACAAACAGCCAAACCAGTTCAAACATAGACTTCCCCACTTCAGATCATGGGTGCTAGCTGACTATCAGTAGCCTGTAGCCAGCCTTACATGAAACCTTTAACAGAAGTGTCATTCTTACACTGAATAAAAATATAAACGCAACACTTTTGTTTTTGCTCCCATTTTTCACCAGTTGAGCTCAAACATCTGAAACTTTACCTACAGAAACAAAACATCCTTGACTCTCAAATATTGTTCTGAACTCTGTCTACATGTGTGATAGCGAGCACCTTTCCTTTACCAAGATAACCCATCCCAGCTCACAGGTGTGGCACATCAAGGGGCTGATTAGACAGCATGAATAATGTGCAGGTGTGCCTTAGACTGCCCACAACAAAAGGCCACCCTGAAATGTGCGGTTTGATTAAACAGCACAGTGCCACAGATGTCACAGCCATTGAAGAAACGTTCAATTGGCATGCTGACTGCAGGAATGTCTACCAGAGCTTTTGCCCGTGAAATGAATGTTCATTTTCTACCATAAGTCGTCTCCAAAGACATTTCAGAGAATTTGGCAGTACATCCAACCGGCCTCACAACCGTAAACCACGTGTGACCACACCAGCCCCGGACCTTCACATCCAGCATGTTCACCTCCAGGATCACCAGAGACCAGCCACTCGGACAGCTGCAGCAACAATCGGTTTGCATAACCAGAGAATTTCAGCACTAACTGTCAGAACCCGTCTCAGGGAAGCTCATCTGCATGCTCGTCATCCTCATCAGGGTCTGGACCTGACTGCAGTCTGTCGTCGTAACCGACTTGAGAGGGCAAACACTCACATTTGACAGCGCTTGGCACGTTGGAGAGGTGTTCTGTTCACAGATGAGTCCCGGTTCTCACTGTTTAGGGTAGATGGCAGACTGCATGTGTGGCGTCGTGTGGGTGAGCGTTTTACGTTGAAGTCCGTGTTGTGGAACGAGTGGCCCATGGTGGCGGTGGGGTACTGGTATGGACAACAAACACAGAGGTACCATGATGAGATCCTGAGGCCCGTTGTTGTGCCATTCATCCATGACCATCACCTCATGTTGCAGCATGAACGCACGGCCCCATATTGCAAGGATCTGTGCACAATTCCTGGAAGCTGAAAACATCCCAGTTCTTGCATGGCCAGCATACTCACCAGACATGTAACCCATTGAGCGTGTTTGAGACGCTCTGGATCGGTGCATACGACAGTGTGATCCACTTCCTGTCAACATTCAGCAACTTCACACAGCTACTGAAGAAGAGTGGACCAACGTTCCACAGGCCACTGGTTTTCTTTTATTGGCAGGGTGTCCTTTTATT